CGGCGTGGAGTTCTTCTCTTGCCCTCGCCGGCGCCTGGGTCCCCGGTGTGTTGCTCGTTGGTGTTATTGCTCCCAAAGAGGCGCCTGAAACCTGTCTCGTAGCGCCTGGTGACACTCACAAATCTGTTGTTTGTCAGCCGCTCTGGCCTTTGGAGGCCATGGAGGCCGTCTGTGTGCTGACCCGTTCCCCAGCTGCCGTCCGGGCGCCGAGAAAGTCTCCTCACCTCTCAGGTTCGTGGCGCCGGTGCTCTGAGTGCGCCTGAAGGGAGACCGCGAAAACCGCGGGATAACCGACGGTGCTACCGGGTGCGCATAAGTGAACTAAGACTTAAGGCAAGTCCAGTTGCATTTTCTGGAGGTAGATAACTGTTTTGGTCAGTAGTTAGGGCAACACATCAAGTTGCTTATCTGATAGTTATCTGAGACAAAGGTAATGCACGCTTTAAAATCATTAGATGGTTTATTTGTCAATGCAGCAGTTAGATTCCATTATATAAAAGTAAAGATGTATGAAATGGAAATTACAGCTGAAAAGGCAATATAAAATTATAAAAATTTAATATTCTGACATGGTATTTAAAGGAAGATAGTGCAAGCTATTCTTTATACTTAGAGGATAAAAAAAGTTCTTAAGATACGGCTGAAAGTTTGTTTCTATGCAAAAGCCTGCGACGTCTCTGAGCTCCTAACATGCAGTGTTTTGTTGAAACAAGATTGCTGTCTGCGTATAACCTAGGTCAGTGGCAGCCTGCGTCATCACCGATCCTAAGCATTTTAGCTGTGATAGACCTTTTTTTTTCATGCTGCATGACAAGTCGTCTTAAGCCTTCGACTAAACCCCTGTCCTGCCTCGAACCAGTGCAAAAAATACAAATTACAGTTCTTCCTGTCAGCAGTCTGACTGGTAACAGGGGACATAACATTCAGATGGTAACTTTTGCCGGCAATGTGTTTTTTGATTAAGTCAGAGAATAGTTTTAGATGCCTGTTTATGGTTAGATAATAGGATGTTACATGTAAGGAAGGCAGAATAATGGCAAATATGGTGCCTTTAATAACATAAATGAAATGGCCGCAAAAGAATTAAAATCATTGGACAGCCTGGAAACTACAAGAAAAAAGGTTGCTGAATTTTGTAACTAAAGAATCTAATCTCACAGGTGTGTCACAATCTGCATTTCTTGTATTCTTAAGTCGTTTAAAGATGTCCATGTGCACTGGGGAAGTGGTAGTGAAGATTACATTCAGATTGTGAATGATGAGCATTTGACAGGACTGCTAAGACACCAAGAAAATATGTTTATGCTTATATATCACTCAGGAGCTGAGAACAATATGTGTCCGAGATGTTCAGTAAATAAGCTAAATATATCGAAATACAGATCTTCAAAGAATTCAGTACTTGGAAATTGATTGTGTAAAGTCATTTGCCCAGCCCCTAACTGAAAGCTGATTTCATTTCAATTATAAACTTCAATATTAACAGAAAGGCTCTTACAGAAAATGAACCATTAAAAGCATTTTTTGGTCGGTTTTCCTGCAGATGTTTACGCTTTCTAAGCTGCATCATGCAAAAGCAGAAGCTTGAGCATAGGGCTTTATTTAGATTGGAGTTTTCATTTATTTGATAAAGTGGTCAAAGACAGAGGGATGGAGGAGCAAGCAGAAATTAATGTGTCTTTACCACAGGAGGGAGAAGAATGGGAAATGAAGGGGAAAAGGGAGTCAAAACACTACCCCTTCCTGCTAATACCCTCATTCTGTTGACCCTTGTGCATGGAGCACTTATCTGCCCTCTGGGGAGTGGTGGTGCCAATCCAGTGTCTCAAGACCAGCAGAAACAAAGGATGCAAAGACAGCATCAGCAGTAGCATCTAAGGATTTTACATGGGACTCAGAGTACAAGTTTCAACAGGGAGAGCCAACAGATGGGCCTCATCAATCTTCTTGTTTGGGTGTCTGTGGTCTCGTTATAGTGGGACTCGTGCACTGGTAGCCATGTCCAGTAGGAAACTAAATGTGTCCAGCCCTGTTTTCTGGCCGTAAGGCCAACTGGAATGTAATGAGCTGCATCCATGCTATTGAATGCTGTTACCCTGCAAAACAGGGCGGCTGCTGCCAAACTGCTGGTGGGGAACAGCGTGTCTGGTGGTTCCCAGAATCTTGGGTTTGCTTGGTGGGGAGCTAGTCAGCCTGGGGCAAGACTGTGCTAGGACCTCCTGAACAGTGTACCAGTGTCAGCAGTTTGGTGCCGATGCCTGGGAATCGGCCATGGTACATTTCATTCCACAGACATAACGTGTGCCTGCCCCCTATGTCTTTCTAGCAAAGACATGAATCCTGCTAAGGCACTAAGCAGCTATACTGGGCTGTCTATTTAAGACTAAATATTTACAAGTTGGATTTTTTTTTTTTTTAAGTTAACCTTTTTTTTCCCTCTCCAGATTATAGATCTGATTAGTTTTGCAGGTAGTTAACCTAGAAGTAAGAAAACCCAGATAAGGAGGAGGCAGGTTTAGTCATTCAGAAGAGTATATCCTAGATGACAATAACAGCAAGTGCTCAAAACTACCTCATTGTTTTCTATGAAGGACTATTTTAATATTTCTAATTGCACCAAGCCCCCAAAAGTTACCATGCCGTCTATACGTGCTTTCACCTTACCCCCTGTTTTTTCATAACAACGAGAAAACCCCATCAAAGTACAATTCTGATATGTGTCCTGCATGCAATCTAATAGTGAGTGTTAGACTAAAGGTTTAAACAATGCCTGGTTTGCTTTTCAGCAGAGGATTTCTCTCAGTGCTACTAGGGAAGAAAATTGCTTTGAAATTGCTGAAGTAAGCAGTTAGTCCCTCCTGGTTCTCTGCTTGTCCTGCGCTTCTCTCAATAGGCTTGTATTGCTTGTATCTCCTGCAAGGAATGTGCACAGTTAGTTGCTGAAAGACATTTAAATGAATGTCCACGTTTAGCACGTGGCCAGTGCATAGGAGAATCAGGTATTCATAACATATGTATTCTCTCTCCTCCTTCCCTCTTCAATCCCATCTAATAGCTGACAGCCATAGGTCAGTAGTGGTGACTAAGGCCTGGCTAACGAGAAGGATCAATCGCTTGACGGAGCACTGTTGCTCTATGGAGGTGTTGCTTTCTCTCTGCTGACTGTGAAAGGCGAGCATACTCTTGGCTCAGTAGTCTTGGCACAGTCTTGAAGTTTCAGGAGAATCGTCTGAGCTAATAATGCAGTAACATGTGCTTCTGCTAACTACTTTCCTGCATGCCCAGCACCTTTTTCCCCAAGAATTTATTTGTCAATTATTCAATGAAGAGTTTTGATGGTTAATTCTTGATGTCAGTCCTCCGCAAACACTTCTTGTAAGAGTTTTAGAGCTAAATTAAATTTCTGTTTGTTAGGTTTTACTGCATATATCATGCAGTTGGAGTTTGCTTACTGCTTACATGCAGTTCCCAGGCCTTCTAGTATTACTATTTGTGCTTATGAGCAGAGGATGTAGTTTTCTATGAAAGTCTTTAACATTTGCATATTTTCCAATGGTTTTGTGGCTTAAGCCAGTAATCTCGTTTTCTTGAATATTTACCAGAATACTTCTGAACAACAATAAAAAGGAAACAAATATATTGTTAATGGAAATTTAAGCTGTTGTTTTTGTTAATTTAAACTAATATTTTTGACAGTGCCTTAAACTGTTTTTAATCCTAGAAGCTAGCAACTTACTTGTAAAGGACAAAAGCCCCAATCGTGCCAAACACTGCCAACAAACCGAGGAAGATAAAGACACCTTCTGTTGCTCCTGATGGTGATCCTAGAGTTCAGAAAGTAGTTTGATTAAAAGTTAGCCTCGTTTTTGCAGTGAGACAGATTTTCTAAAGAAAATATCATTTTTACTTCATTGCTTTACAGACTGAAATATACTTAACACTTCTGGAGGTCAGTGACTTTGGCAGGAGGTGGTGCTTTCTCATCCTAATCGGTTTCATTCTTGATTCTGCCAGAGGGTGAGCTGGGCTTTGCCAGTTTTCTTATGTGAGCCATGCTCCTGAGACACATGGCTGCCCTTCCAGCATGGAAGGGAATGGAGGGTCTTGCTGGCACCCCACAAAGTGAGGCTAGTTTCCTCCTTGCCAATTGCTCTGCTAGGAAAACATTTACACTGAGAGCATGAGATGCAATCTCCTTACAAGCTTTAATGTTAGAATCAGCTTCAGCTTTCGCTTAGGGATGAGGGCCAGGGGCAAAAGGGATAAAAAAGGAGTTTCTGAAATGTTACTGTTTGTTGCAGTCCCATATGCTAAGATGGCAGTGTGGCTGAGAGCTTGATGGAGTTAGGCTTGTTTGCCCTATCCAAGAGCTGAGAGCTCTGCTTTTTTAACATGCTCATTCTGGGAAATTAATTTCGGCCTCTGCCTGTTATTGAACTCTGCCTTCTGGTTTGCCATCAGCCATTTCACTCATATCTACTCCTAATTCCATCATATCTGATGGAAGAAGTCAAATCATTGCAAGTATTTTTTAAAAAATTTGTGTTAAATATCTTAATTTTCCAGTCCACAGGCTGTACTTTTATTGAGTTTACTGGTACTGAGATACATTCTTGGTCCTCAAATTAACAACAGTATTTATACAATGAAGTAACCTAGAAGTGCATGTTGGCTTGCTGTTCCAGTCATTAATTTATAATTGCTGTCTACGAAAATCAAGCTATCGAATCAGGGTTTACCATTTACTTGGTATATGCACCTCGTATATTTCTCAGTTTGTTGATACAATTGTTTGTGAAGGCTTGACCTCCTTCCTAGTTTACACAATATTTTTGCTGAGACTGTAGCGATTTACCTTGTTTTATGAATAAGGCAGGTCCTTGGACTAGTTTGCAAAGCAACACATACTGATGGGATGGGCCTAAATCATAGGGCTGCAACCCATTCCACAGTCGTTGGAGGAAGTTAAAAGTGGATGTTTTGTGCAATGCCTACGTAACCCAGGCACAGTGCTGCCAGATTTTGAGGGGCGGATGTTTAGACACCAAATACTCGGGCACCAAATTATGGGATTTTCAGAAATTAATAAATACTTGTCTTCTTTTGAAATGAATGGAAAATGGTGGCACATGAGAAATCTTTGCAAATATAAGATGGGCTCCTCCAGAAGATGACTCAAAGCAGCAGCCTCTCTCAGATCCTGATTCTGCTTTGGTTCTTTGGTTATAGTGGAAGTCCCGAAGTACAGCTTAGGTTTGCCCTCTACAGGAAACCAAGGGAGACCAGCCTTGTTGGGCTAAAGTTAGCCTCTGTGAATACAGTTTTGAAAAATCCTGCTGCATGATTATTTTCATCTTTAGGAGCCAGAATGGACTTACAGGTGAGGCATCGTGCCTCATTCATCATGAACTGATTTAGGTACAACTAAAATTATACCAAAATTAAATAAAGTCAGCCAAAAATACCATGGCAAATGACTGCAAAGGGTCAGTTGCTTGACTGATGGTAATTAAAGAGTTCAGAAGAGTCATTAGGACATCGTAGTGGGAGGTCAGGAGGGCAATGGAGTGGGAGCAGAGAGACAGCATGGTCATTTAGACTACTGACTGAGGCCAAGTTTAATACCTGGTTCTGTCAAAGACTGCATGGATAACCATGAGCAAGATACCGTGATACTCATCCAACCAAAGGTAAACTTCTTGTTCTGAAATAGTCACCCTGGACAGACTCTGTAGTCAATGAATGTTACACAGCTCTTTCCAGAACCTGATTCATCTTATCCTCATGTAGAAACGGAAACCTG